CAAACAACAACGCCTGGATGTTAAAGTTGTTCTTGCAAAGGATTGAGGATTTTAGCTCTAATAGTTTTTCAAATATACGAATTTGTCTATTTAATTCATATGGGGCGATTCCAAGCACCCCCTTTTTCCACAAAATGTTCAGATGAATATTAAAGTTCTTCATACAAAATTTTAAGAAGCTAGCTCTATTAGTTTCCCAGATATATTGTATATTTTATTCGTATGGGAGGAGCAACGCCCCCTCCATTGGTAGTCCGCCAATTTATATAAATAATCATATTGACACTAAAGTGGTTCGAACAAAATTTGAAGACTCTATCTGTTATATTTTCTCAGCTAATATTGATGTAAGATTTTCTTTATATGGAAGGTGCCACGCCCACTATAGCCATTCCGCCCATTTTATCAAAAAATATTCTTATGGATGTCAAAGTTGTCCATACAAAATTTGAGGACTCCAACTCTTGCAGTGTCTGATACTTATTTAGAATGTGGGAGTGGCATGTCAACCACTTGAAATTTTGAAGTAAAAAGTAGCATATAGTTTCTTCTAGACATACAGGAAGACACTGTGAAAATTTCAGAAAAATCGGTTCAGCCGTTGAGCTGTCTATAAAGTTCAAACAAACAAACACACATAAATTGTTATATGTATATGTATATAGATTATAGCTTTTCCTCCCAATTTATTGAGGATCTATCCATATTTGATCCTAACTCCCATATAAAGCTTCTTTTAGAAATTTAATTTTTCATCAATAAATTCCTTAAATATCATTAAAGTTGAAAAATAAATCATTTTAAAATACACTCAATGTATAGGGTATCATACGGCCTAGTCGGACATGGCCTTTCCTACTTGTTTCTTATTAAAATTGTTTCGATAATATAAAGAAAATAAATAAAATTTTGTTTTGAAATTTTACTCTCACTACTATCCCACTGTCTTGCGTGTGAGTATGAAACTAAAGCCCAGTTTATGTTTATAAACAAATTTGGTCAAAACGCGATATTAAGCGTAAAACCAAACTTACATCCAAAGAGATTTTAATTTTTAATTATTTATCTCTCCCCAGATCAGTTCACATAGTTTGAGAGTGGTTTGTATATTAACAGACTCAATTGATATCTAGTTTTTTTCTGTAACCCATTTTGATCTCACTGTTACCTGGTTTTATACATAGATAGTTTTTTTTACAACTGGGTGCAGTACTATTTTTGCTCATATTAATTGTTTGCTTTTTTTGTTAGCTTTTGTTTACTTTTTCCCAAAAACGTTTTTGTTTAAACTTTAAATCAATGTCCGCATTCATTATGTACCAAAAAAAATATTATTTTTTGTTAAAATTTTTAGTTGATTTGGTTTTTTTTGAGTCACTTGATTAATGGTTTAGCTGGTTTAGATCTAACACCCCTTTATGTTTATTTTGAATTATTGTTATTATAATTTGTGTTTCTATATAAATTTTTTGATGATTAAGGAACAGATTTCAAAGCTATAAAAACAGGAAATTTTTTTCTTTGTTTTACATAACATTTAAAAAAATTATTTTAGAAATTGTTCTTCATAATAATTTAGGCTCATATAGTTAAAATCCAGTTAACAATATGTATATTATTGGCAAAGGTTGACAACCCTAAACAGATTTCAAAGATATTATTGTATTTGGTTTTTCTGTTTAATCAAAACTATGTTTTGCTAAAATTTGCATTTTATAGCAATTTGTTCTTTTGTTCTATATAGTATTTTTATATGTTTATTTCTCTATCCGGTTTTATGATGATTATCTAAAATCGAGAATAAATTTAAAATACATACGTAATTAACTTATAATAAAATCTACTCATTAGCTAACGGATTTTAAAAGATCTTTTTCAACAATTATTGTTATTATTTTTGATTTTTTCTTCTTCTGTATTAAAGAAAAAAAATAGAAAAGAACTCATATATTAGAAAACTCGTTTAAAATATTTCAACATCATTTATTTAGTTAAAATTAGCGTTGATAATAAAAATATACACAAATCTGGCAATAATTAAAATATTGTTTTCTATACCCCCCTAAGTGAATGAGGTGATGAGGTTGTGCGATCGTTAACAGTAGAGGGAAATTAAATAGTAAAGAAATAAAAATGAATGGATGATTTTTCTTAAATGTTATTGTATTATAAATATACATTTTACTTAAAAAGTCCTTGTTGCTCAACATTTCAAACGTTTTTTTATATTTTTATAATTGTATCGTGAGAACATGACATATACATAAGTGTATAAAAAGATAGTTTATATTGAACAATATTATATTGATAAGAGTTTCTCAATATAGTAAAAGTGCTATATTCGACTATTCCGAATCCTATATACCCTCCATCAATAGGTCAATTATGACATAAATTCATTAGAATTCGAGAGAGTAATACTGCAAGAGTGGTAAATTTTTAATCGATCCTTAATAAAATTGTTGTGTGTCCTTAGCACTGTGGACCATTTTTTGAAATGGCTGCCAAAAATAATATTTTTATGACTTTAAAACAATTACTTTGAACTTTTTGTAAAAAACAGAAAAAAATTTAATAGACCTTAACTCCCAGGGGAAAAAATAGAACAAAAAAGTCCAAAAATGTGATGTAGTTTATGATTTTTTTTGGCCCAATACTTTGAAATGTGTGTGAGAGTTTGTTTGTATTTTTGTTCAAAGTCTATAAACACCTGAACGGATGGATAAATTTTCATGAAATAATTTATAATTTTTTGTAGTCCGCAGTAGTCTAGTCTATAGTCTAGGCTATAGTGTAGACTATAGTCTCGAACAAAATCTAGTACTATTAATACTAGATACTGTTTCACAGTATCTTACTATAGTCTAGAAGGAACTCAAAGCGACATTTTGTTTTGCAATTTTAAAAACAAGTAAGAAATTATAGTTGGGCATGGCCGAACATATGATACCCTACACCAGTGATTATCTTACAAATTTTGATTATTTTTTTTAAATAAATTATTTAATTTAATTTTTACCTCAATTCTGGAATATTTTAACAATTTATCAACAAAAAAGGGGATTATATGGGGACAGGCGGTTAATATAGCCCTATTCTTATTAATTTTGGTAGAGGGATTTACGTATATGTACATCAGTTTTTAATGCAGAATATCATCGTGAAATTATTGGTTATAAGTGAATTTTAACTATAAAGTCATTTTTTGAAAGGGACAGGGTCAAATGAGGCCCAATCATTACGAAAATCAGCAGTATCATTAAGACTTATAAAAACTAAATTTTTTTCGATTTTTTAAGTGATACAAGAACATTACATATTTATGAGCTCAAAAGCCCCACTCAGGGGGTACGGTTGTATGGGGGCTATACGAAATAATGGACCGATTATAACCATTTTCAATAGGCTTCTTCCTTGGGTCAAAAGAAAAGTATGTGCCAAATTTCATCAAATTATCATAAAAACTGCGACCTGTAGAGTGCGCATAAGGTTTGAGAGATTTCAAGCCCCCCTTCGTACAAAATTTGAAGATTCTAGCTCTAATAGTTTCCCGCTATAAGAAATTTGTATTTAATTCATATGGGAGGTTCTACTCCCCCATTTTCCTAGTCCGCTAAATTACCACACAAATGTTCACATTGATATCAAAGTTTGAGGATTTTCGCTTTAATAGTTTCTTAGATATATGAATTTTTGTATTTAATTCAAAAATTCCAAATTTTCAAATTAGAGTTAGAGTTCTTTGTGCTAAATTTGAAGATTCTATTCTAACAGTTTTCCAAATAAACGAATTTTTGTATTTAATTAATATGGACACTTCCCCTTTTTCCTAGTCCGCTAAATTATTACAGAAATGTTCACATTGATGTCAAAGTCGTTCGTGCAAAATTTGATGACTTTTGCTTTAATTGTTTCTTAGATATACGATTTCTTTTATTTAATTCATGTGACAGGTTCCAAGCCCCTAATTAAAGTCCGCCCATTTTCCTCTTGAATGTTCACATGGACGTTAGAGATCTTCCTGCAAAATTTGAAAGTTCTAGCTCTAATATAAACGAATTTTTGTATTTAATTCATATGGGAGGTGCCACGCCTCCTATTGCTAGTTCGCCCATTTTTTTCATAAATACTCATGTTGACACTAAAGTAGTTCCGACACAATTTGAGAACTCTAACTGTTTTTTCTCAGATATAATAATTTAATATTTTCTTTATTTATATAATTCATATGGGAGGTGTCACGCCTCCTACTGCTAGTTCGCCCATTTTTTTCATAAAAACTCATATTGACACTAAAGTGGTTCCGACACAATTTGAGAACTTTAACTGTTTTTTCTCAGATATAATAATTTAATATTTTCTTTATTTGGGAGGTGTCACGCCCACTACAGCTATCCATACTATCCCCATATGTTTATGTGGATGTCAAAGATGTCCATACAAATCGGTCCAGCCGTTTAGCAGTCTATAATGTCCAAACAAACAAACATTATATTAACTGCATTTATTAAATTTTTTACTGGACCCAGTATTAAAGTTTAATATTTATAACCAAATATCTTACTATCGACCACACTGAGTACGGTCAAAAGATTTTTTATACACTTAACGACTTATACCCTATTCTTTACCATTAATGTCTTTGCCAATTACCCGGCATACACATTTTTATTAATTCAAAAATTAATTAAATTTATTATTTATATTATTTTATTTAGCTTATTGCAAAATTACAGTTGGCGTAATTGAATTGACATTAAAGCCAGAAACTTGTTTTCGGTTTAATTTTTTTTTATACTTTATACAACATTACTGGCTTTAAGATTTTCTTTTCCGCAAAAAAAGAAACGAACACCTAAACGTAAAGATTAAGGTATTCACTTTAAAAACAAGATAAATAAAAAACCTCATGCAAAATATCAATACATTATTAAACACTCCTTGCTAAAGCAAACAAATTTAACAAAAAATATTACGAAAAAAATTAAACATTGACTCACATTTTTCTTCACTTAAAAAACTCTTAAACTTTTTTTCAACTTATTGCAAAATTAACACTTTGATTATTGCCACAATTTTTTTTTTACTTAAAAATATTTTAAAAATTGTTGTAATTTTTTTTACAAACCACACGTTTACTAGCCCACTGTGTGAGATTTTTTATATTTACTTATTTTTTATTTTTTTTTTTTTGGTACTATAAAAAAATAGTTTACAAAATTTTATGTTTTAACACCAACAAATAAAAAAAGATCACACGAAATAATAATTTTTTTACAACTTAATTTTCGCAATATTTATGGTTTTCACAACATTTGTATTTTGATTTTGAATTTCGTTTAAAATTTTGTTTAATTTTTTGAAAACGCGTACAAAGCGCGTGCGCTTGAGTTTTACGATGCGCACCTCGCAAAGAGCTAAACAAATCTAAAATGTTGAAAATTGTGGTGTTTAGGAAATTTAATTTACTAGTCGAACACAAAAAGCTTTGGTTGTATCTTAAACGATTAAAGCTTTTTGCAAAATGTTTAAGCTTTTTTTCTTTGATATTATTTTTTAGATGATTAATTGAGGAACTGGAAAACGGTTAGTTCTTGTAGAAAAAGATACAAATGATTAATAAAAAATGTATTTGGATTGGTTGATACTTGAACTGGTCATTAAACTGTTGAGATATTTTTCAATTAGTAGTAAATTATAAATATAATTGTAAGCATTTGAATTATAATATTTTACTATATGGAATTTTGTATACCCAACATTAGTGGTAAAATTTCAGAAATGAAATAGTACGTTCTAAATACAAATAAATATCATAGAAAAGATGTGCAGAGGAAGGAGGTTATATTGATTTTTTCAGTCCATGTTATATAGTCACTACACAGGGAATAATATTCAATAACAACCGTTGTCAAAGTATATACATAAGTACGACAACACTATGTAATGTTGAGAACGCAACGTTGTCTAAATGACAACGGATTGTTTGTCAATAGTGAGCTTACCACGTTTGTTAACATTTACACAAAGGATGTGTATAAAATTTAGATTTCGACAACGAATTGTTGCAATGTTGTCAACATTATATACTGTTGTCATACGTATGTATATACTTTGACAACGGATGGTATTAAAAATTATAAACAGTTTGTTGTCAATTTGGTACCAGGCGTATATATTTCTTTTTCCCTCTGTGTATAGACCCAAAGTAAAGCATCTAGGAAGATAGAAATTTTCCAAAATATTTCATGTTGTTCAGAAGTTTCTAGTATTAAAAAAAGGAGAATATCGATCATACAAATATGCAACTATTCTTTATGCAACCTTAACGACTTAAAAATACCATTAAAGCTGTGATACCAGTATATAAATCAAAATATATCTACTAATAACAGTCTATATTTATCCGTCCGTGGTTATAACCATGTTAAAGTACCATGTTCGATTAATTTCAAATGTTAGAACTAGACCCAAATTCAAGAAGAATTTTTCTTGGGATAAGCGCTTTGTAAAATTGTATAATCCGCACATGTTGCATAACTAATAACAAAGCCAACATACCGACAGATATTTTATAGCTGTCACAACAAATTGTTTAATGTCTTGTCTAATTGTTATAATTCGATTGTCATAAATTATTAAATTGTACAATAATACATTCAATTTTAAGTCGACTAATTATTTTGTGGGTGTTTTTGTTTAATTGATTTGATCTTATAATTTATAATGACCATAAAGCCTTCCTCATAGACCACTCACTGCCTACCCCCTCCTGACTATTTCACTATTAACAGGACCTACCTAGTTAGCTTAAGGCAAATTTATATTGTGTTTTCTACAACACCATCAGAACTATTTTTGACACGTTTTATGTAAATATATAACATATGTATGTGTGTATTTAAATACATAAATGTATATAAGGTTGGCCCCGTTTGTATTGGGGGAAAATGAGGCGTCTCTCAAACGGCATCAATATTTATATCAAGGATAAAAAGGTCCTTTTTTAAGGTTTTTATGATTTTTATTCATATTTCTTCCAAAGAATAGATATGAAATTTTTGTTTCATAAGAAAGGTTCTTGAGAGACGTTTTCAATGGCATATCAAAATTTAAAAATAGGTGAAAAGTTACTCTCATTTGAAAAAAACCCCTTATGACCAAATTTTCCAACTTTGATCCCCTCTAACTCCGGCAGTTCTTGACCAATAGACCTGAAAATTGTGCCTGTCCTACTATCCAATAGTACTACCAAATCGATTTTTTGAGTTGGGTCACTGGACACGAAATTGCCCATATACAATTTCGATCGATTTGATACAATTTTAAATCTAAAATTGTAATTTTATTTCAAATATGAACAAAGAGATGAACATTAATCGGCCTTTTGTTTTTAATGAACTCTTCCCAAAACAAGGAATAAAATTAAAAAAAAAAAATGTACAATTCGTTCTTTAAAAGTACGTTTATGGCAAAACTGAATTAAAACTATTAGCTTATCTTAAGCAATTTTATAAGCGTAGAGAATTGAGTTATTGGCATTCATTAGAAATGTTAATCGTGAAATACAGCATTAACAATCATTAGAAATATAACTAATAATAACAGACATTCTAACTTTAAATGTTAAAATATTATCAATTGCTATTTTGAAATCTACCGGGTTTATACATTTGTATAAACAAATGTTTTTATTTACGTATGTATATGATATTTGTTATTTATAGTAGTAAGTAACTGGAAGTGCAAACTAAATGTATTAATTACTATACAGTGTATTTGTTTAAAAACAAAATTCTCATTTTGTTTGATTTAATTAAGTGAATAAACTTTAAATAGTTTGTTAAATAGACAAACATTCGCTCACATACCATTTCCATTCGCATAATCAATCTTTCACGTACAATTTATGTTGTCGCATTGTTTACTTTTGAAGCGTTAATATAGTACACGGTGAAAAAACGTTTTTTGGGAGTGTAATTCGTTTATAATTTGTTTAATTTAAAAGATATTCCGATGGAATGACTAAAAATTTGATTCCCGAAAATATCTGGTACCTTCAAAAAAGGTATTTGAACGAATTCGCTTTGTGCGAATTTTTAGATAAATACAAGTATATTTAACGTAATTAGAATATCCACAGCACTATTCGGGAAATAATGGACCGATTTCAGTCAAAATTAATATTTAGCGATTTGTATTTTGATTACAAAGCTTACATAGGCAGACAAGATGTCTAAGTGCTGGCGGACTCTTTATCATCCGCTGGGTAGACATGAGATGGTCTACCACGCGCCCCTGAATCCTTCTATGAAGCACTTAGGTGGCCATTTTTTGTACATGACTGTGCGGGTCCATGTACAAGCACTTTGCTGAATTACTCAAGCTATCTAATTTTTTTTCATAGTAGCCCCATTGCGGAATGACAGGCTGCATGGGATCAATCCTAATGCAAACCCCGACAAGGAAAAAGCAATCACTGGTCTAAAGTCAATAGAAGGAGAGACAACCCCAACATCAGGTGAAATCAATCTTCCGGTATACCGGAAGGTGACCACCCTTATGATGTCATGAAACATTGCATTATTTTAAATGCAATCCCCATCAACTAATGACCCATTTCAGTGCATTCCTTAACCTTTTAAAGCCCGCGCAACCACACTACTCAGATGGCTCTGTTGTTTGGCAACAGCACCTAGAGACGTATTTGGTAGCCCGCAATATCCAGCCAATAAATCAGGATCCCTCTGTATGTCAGATATTCGAACCCAATAATTGCCCCGATAAGTTGAGTGGCAGCTCTCAAGTATAAGTCGCGTAGCATGAAACAATATACATCCTGTTGAGATGGCAACAGCGTTGACAACTGCCCTGAAGTAAAAGGACTACTAAATCAGCACTAGTCTCCTGTCGGGCAGAGGAGTCTTTCCCGATCGTTCACCAACTTACATCACTTCCATTCTCAGATCATAAAGAACGATCTACGGAATGACATCTACGGAACTACCAAGTGTCAACCTGAAAATTCCCCAACCTATAGTGGCGCCCTACTACGCGAAGAGTAAGAGATACTTAACGGGTTCAGGAATTCAGCATATGTTGCTCTGTCACATCACCCAGTGACATCTGTGTATAGCATTTGGATATATCAGTCCTTAAATCAACATTTTCTCCCCGCGAATTTGTGTTTAAACCACAGCCACTACGTGGAATCCCGAAGGAACCTCAAGGTGAGTATAGGGGCTAATAAACGGGAAAAGCTGGAGAGCTGAAATTTTGCACAAATCTTCTCCATGGATAGGAACTATTTAGTATTGAAATTGAGCTATATTGGTCCATGTGTTCGCATAACGTGTATGGGCGCTCTCCGGAATACAGTTTAAACTGTCATAAATACGTTAATTAGTAAGCAATTGTGATGAAATTTTGCACAAGATTGATACTACTCCCTATATTCTGAATTATAGCGGTGATTTTCAATATAAATTAGTTTTATAGGAATTAATATATATTGATAGAATTTTATGAGTATCAGTTTATAATTTACCCTATTCCCAATATTAGGACAGAATCTAGTTTTATAAGAACCAAATCGGTTCAGAGTTTACTTTAACGCTCATTACCCCATATAAGCTTTGATGCTGAGAATATAACTCTCTAACTTGTTTTGTTTTTTCACACAATTTTCTCCAAGTGTAGATTAATTTTTCTAAACGTTTACCTCTTAGTTTTATTTGTCATCCAAGCGTTAATATTTTTCGTTTGCAAGTTTTTATTCGTACTCATATTTATTTGTGAATATTGGCTACGATTGAAAATGAAAGTCAATAACATTTTCGTTTTATTTCGGTAGCACTGAACTTTTTTTAATTTATTTTTTATGTAGAAATGTGTGTCGTTCATTGCCAAAAAAATCGGTCAATCAACTTGCTACAAACAATACCAAACAGATAATATACTGTTGGCACTAATATGGGCGTATTGAACGATTATTATATGACTTAAATTAATATTGAATTTATTTCAAATGTCGAATATTATTATAACAAGAAATAGACAACTGGGCAGTAATGCTTTTGTAATTTTCTTAATATTTATAATATGTTTAAATTATACCATATTGCTCATTAACTACGGGCATAACTCCAAAAACATCGTTTCGAGAAAAACGATTTTGAATATATTGACTTATGCTTGTCTTACAATAAACAAATTATATACAAATGTATATGTATTTAAGAAATAAATTCCACAAAATCCATATAAATATTTTCCAATTTCGTCACAAATTAGGGGATTTTTTGATTAGCTAGAACTTCCTAAAATTCAAAAACAACTTTTTACTTCCCTTTAGAAACAACTCAGTTTTCAATCTTTTCAAATTAACAATTTATTCTCTTCATTTTTCAAATTACAAATTTTGATATATTAGCT